CATATCAAATCTTTTGTTAATATATATATTTGTTTTTCACTCGTATTTTACCGTTGAAAGAGCCATTTGAAATAATACCGCGAGTATCTACAAAGCCGTTAAAAATTTTGAAATACTCTAAATACAAAAAATGTTGATTTTTTTAATTCTCCATCTATTAAAGGAATAATATACAGGGTGTTCCATTTAAAAAAAATCATCCTGATCCACTCACACTTTTTTGAGTCACCTTGTTGAGGTTAAATTATTTTCCTGAAATACATCCTAATACATACTTTAGGCACAGATTAGGTATCCTATAAGTATACAGATAAAAATCTTGTCCCGAATTCGTGGTACGAAAATTGTTTTTTATGATGATGTGCAAACGAGTAAAATTTCCGATGCGCAAAAATAAACTCGCGTAAAATAACAATAAACAGCGTAATAGAGAGATATCGCTAAACCGAATAGCGTGCATGGACGTTAATAAAGCCAGGTGTTATTTCTAGTGATGAGCCAAGCCGTGATTTTCTTCACAGGCTTACTTGTGACAGCGACTTTGTATTATCTGTGACTCTTAACTGTGACTGCGACTTTATGATTATGAATCCGAAAGCACAATCACGGCTAAAATATAAGATACGTTACGAATGATACGATTCTGTTGTTGTTATACTAATTTTTATTTGTGCTTTATCCAAGGCCGCTGAAATAGGAAACACTAAACAGTGGGTAAAAGGTATATTAAAAAATAAAAATAAAACAATTTTTTTATTTAAATAAACCAACGGGAAAAGAATAAAATATGCAATATGCTCATAACCATAAGGAACGAAACTTAACAACACGAGATAAGTAATACATTAAACAACAAATATTTTCCTTTGTAAGTTTCTAAAAAAAATAAACAGTATAAAGGTAAAACTTTATGTTTGGCTTTAAAAAAACCTGCTAAACTAAAAAGGAACCAAACCGATTCGTAGTGATAAAAAATAGTAATAAAATATAAAATACATAAAAAATTAAATCACTACTAACAGTCACTGTCTTTAGATCACTTTGTCAGATATCTATCCTATGAGTCGTACGTCGTGACTCGTGACTGTGAACTGAGTCACGACCGGCGCCATCGGCAGCTGCGTTCGCGACGCGCGATTCCGCTCTGTGAAGTATTTTCTCGTTACCAGAGAAATCACAATTAACTGTAATCGTCACGCTTTAGCAAGTCACCGTTTATTTTCAAATCAGTCACAGGCTGTGACTGTTATTATAGAATATCAGTGACAAAGTCACAGTTACCGATATTTCACTCATCACTAGTTATTTCCTTTACGTGAGGTGGTATTAAATCTCTTCATTTATAGTTATCGGATCGGAAAGAATTCTGATCGCGTCGCGTCCGCTATTTAAACTTAACCTAACTTTGAATTTAAAACTTTGAAATTGTTTTGTTTACTAGGTGTTTTAAATCTAAAGGGCTAAAGTGCTTATTTCCAGTGCTTTATTGTTCAACGTCTGCCAGTGGGTTTAGAGCAACAAGCAACAAATTCTCTTAGAAAGGCTAAGTCGTCATCTGCTGTAAACCTAATACTCTTTATAGGTTCTTTAGCATTGGAAGAGGTGGAATCCATATTTTGGGCCATATTTATTTAATTAAAACTAATCCCAGCTACTTAAATATCAAATTACCTAATAAAACTAAAGCAATAATTCAAAACAATTCAAACATAACCTAAAATAAAAGATCTCGCCGGTCGGCTCCGGTTGTCAAATACCCGCACATGCCCATTTAAGCAATTTTTAAACGTTATCAGAGGTTATTTAGAATACGCTTGGCGCGAAGAGCGCTTGGTGTAATTGATCCGCAAATTACGTCAGGCGGTAACGTCATTAGCGGGCGTTGCGTTAAAAATTGACTCGCGCATATCGTAACCATGATAAGGTACGCGTAAATACTGCATAACGCTATTCGGTTTTCCGATATCTCTCTAATAACTGTGCCGGTCAGGCGCTGTGCACAATTTTAGAGGCCATAAGTGGGCGTGCTATGTGCGCAAACTAGTCACCTAACTAGTGCCCGATTCCGAAAATTGGAACCACGAAAAACAATAAAGAAAAAACAAAGATTATAATCTGTATAATCTGCGTTTATACCTTATTAAGAGCCACGATAAAGGAGGCATAGTTAAATACCATATGATCGAAAAAAAAACGATGGCTATGAAATGAAAATCGTTGAAAAATTTTTTTATTAAATATTTACCCAGTTCAGCCATGAAAAAAGTTGAAAGCGTATGTTTTGATTTTGATAATATGCGATTGATCATAAGATGCAGAAAATATTCGTATTTCCTAAAAAAAATCCTTTGGTTTATTAAAAAAACTACTTTTGTTTATTTATACATTTACATTTAGATTTTTCCTAGATTTTCTTTTACATATTTATACATATTGTGTTATTTTCTATTTTCTATAGAAAGCAGGGAGTCTACATTGGTTAATATTTATTTTCACGAAATTTAAGTGAATTATTTAATTCTATTTAGAATTGTAAACAATACTACTTCATTATCTAAGGCAAACAAAGTATGAAAAAAAAATCTTCAATATATGTTAATATCAAATAATGTTTTTGATAATAATATATAGTATAATTATAGATAAATACAGGGTGTCTCAGATTTTAATCGGGAAAATTTAATAGGCGATAGAACTTGCAAAAATAAAACAAAAAGTTCATATCAACTTGTAAGATTTAAATCTCCCTTTTCGAGATACAGGGTGTTAAAGTTACTTAAAAAAGAAAAAAAATTAAGATATTTGAAAAACTATTTAATCGATTTTGATATAACTTGACCCGTTTATAATACTTACTATGGGACTTAATTTGATGTAATTAGATTTAAGCTTAATGGCCAGGGGCGGCGGTGGGGCAACACTGTTAGATTATTTTAAAGGAAAAAATAGGCACGCCACTGCTTTTTTAGAAGTTTAATATTATTTTTGGATTTAGTAATTAAAAATATTATTTTTTTGCCTCCTTACTTTTTTGTCTATCTTGCTTACTTCTTGCGAGAAAAAACTTAATTCTAATTGGTAATTAATATTATAATTGGTATTCTAATGGTAACCTGTATCTCGAAAAGGAAGCTTTAAATCTTACAAGTTGATATGAACTTTTTGTTTTATTTTTGCAAGTTCTATCTTCTATTAAATTTTCCTGATTAAAATCTGAGACACCCTGTATATATATTATATATATATATATATATATATATATATATATATATATATATATATATATATATATATATATATATATATATATATATATATATATATATATATATAAGGATATCATTTTCTACCGAATAAAGTAAAAATATACCGGAAGTGCTATTTAAAAATCAAAAGTTGTAGTCATTTCCGGTGAAACAGGAAGTGACCAAAAACTCAATCAATCCCAATTTATGTCATATACTAACATACCAAATCTGGTTTTTTTATCTGTAAAAATGAAAAAGTTATAGGGGTGAGCCACTTTTGAGACGCACCCGGTATTTTCCTAAACAACAAGTCTAATAGAATAAATCGGTGAAGGAAAACTCACATTTAGGGAATGCAATCCCGCACCAAAATCTCAATCCCGCAAACCCGCGGGATTAAAACAAATAATCCCGCGGATCCGCAAAATTGCGGGATTGTAAACAATAAATGCGCAAACTAGTCACCTAACTAGTGCCCGATTCCGAAAATTGGAACCACGAAAAACAATAAAGAAAAAACAAAGATTATAATCTGTATAATCTGCGTTTATACCTTATTAAGAGCCACGATAAAGGAGGCATAGTTAAATACCATATGATCGAAAAAAAAACGATGGCTATGAAATGAAGATCGTTCAAAAAAATTTACAATTTTTGAAAAATCGAAATTTTAGCTATGTACGACTAATTTGTATTGAAATTAGAAAAAACAATTTGGTGTTTTTTTTAAATTTTTGTTTTAAAGAAAATACGATTTATTTTCGAAAAATATGCATTTATAGTCATACATTTGATCCTAAATGGTACAAAAGGCATTGTACATTTTTCATAGGCCCACAATATATTGATATAGCGTGTATCTTAAACTATCTGTACAGAAATTTGGACCGATGTATACAGGGTGTTCAAAAAATATATTTAATATTAAATAAACTTAAATTTTATTATAATTTATCTACTTATTTTATAAATACTATTCTGATGTTGAAGTATTTTTTAACTTGTATTAGTTATCTGCTTTCAGATACACTATATAAATACTTTTTTGGCATATGTAGAATGTACAAAGCTTTTTGTACCATTTAGGACTATAGTATAAAAAACGTCGTATTTTCCTTAAAACAAAAAAAAATAAAAAAACGATCAAATTGTTTTTTCTAATTTCAAATACAGATTTTTTAAAAATTGTAAATTTGCGGTAAAAAAGATTCTTGACCAAATTTTCACTCTTATAAAACACCCTGTATACGAGAATTCACTAAATATATTTTCATATTTTCGAAAACCACATAGTATCTTAATCACAATAGATGCATCTAAAACCTGGTCCAAACCGCATCCCAAAATCTTTTTTAGTTCAAGAGATATTCAACTTTAAATTTACCCTAAAATTTTAATTTAATTACCTGTTTGTTTCACTTATTTTTAATGGCCAAGCCGTAAGGGAATCCCCTAGTTTCGATCCCGCAGATCTCGCACGGTAAATCCCGCAACTTTGATCCCGCGGAATCACAGGGGGATCCCGCATTTGCGGGATCCAGCATTTGCGGGATTGCATTCCTTACTCACATTATCTTATACAGGGAAGTTTTAGTAACATGGCAATATGCACCTTTATAAATCATGCAAAATATTTTATATTAAATTTTGTTTTAATATCTTTGTCGACTAATAGCACTAATCGGCCACTCTGTATAGCAATCGGCAGAAATACAAATCGGCAGATTTGATTTCCATTACGTCTTTGTTTAGGTTCGAGAGGTCATCAGCGGGCCTTCTCTCAAGGTCAGATATCGGAGGTGTCCAGCGGAGCATCTGTCAAACCTGGTCATTCTCGGGTCGGTTCCAAGACTGATTTCATTCTACCTCCCGGGCACAAAGATACGGGCAGTATCGAAGGTGCCACATCTAGAATAAGCGCTAAGGGACATTCGAGGTAAGGGCAAATTTCCAGATAATTTGTAGTCTAGTCTAGAATTATTGGAGCGATCAATAATGCTTGAAATGGTTAGCAATACTGTTCTAGAGGATTTTACGGTTGTTATTTTTGTGAAATTGGCGTACTTTTCAATATACAGGGTGTCCCAGAAATAAGTGCAAGTATTTTAAGGGGTGTCGATAAAAGAAACATACTATTTTCTCTTTATCGATTTTCAAATAAGTCCAAAATAACGGAGTTATTTTACTTTGAAAATTTCCAAAAAAAAAAGGATTTTTTGCTAAAATTTTGAGAACCACTCGATCTTTTCTGGATTTTCTTTCTTGTAAATTTAATCTAATACCTATGTATAGTGATGTTGGTAGCGAATATTTCTATTCGAATTTTGCAGGAAATTTCAGAAATATTCGGTCCCAAAATCGCGAATATTCGCAAAAATCAGAATTTTGCAAGAAATTTCTTTTCAAAATTCAAGACATCGAGCAAAAATTTAACGAAAGTGTATCAAGTATGCCGATTCTTAAGTCAGAAGAAAAAGAATGCTTCTCCGCCTTACAAAATAAAAAACCTATGGCTCTTGAACCATTGCATTTTGCCGCGAATCTCTTGGACCCCTGTTTCCTAGGAGAGCACCTTAACAATGAAGAACACATAGCCGATATGGAATTTATCAACAATATCACCAACAATCATCCTCAGTTTGTCAATAATAAGCCATTTTTACAGATGTAACAAATTATTGCGCCAAATCGGGTTTATGGGCTCTCGACTACGTTTGGATGTCAGTTAAAAATGTAGACTGTCTAAGTTGGTGGCAAGCAATGTGTAAAAATACTCAGTTGAAATATTTAGCTGTTGCTCTGCTGTCTTTACCAACGTCATCTGCAGCCATGGTACAAAGAATACAAGGTATGATATTGCGAAGGTTGGTCGCTACGTCACAGGTGATAACTGGCGCTATTGGTTGTTGGTTGTTTTTTTGTTTATATACCGTCATTGAATTATCGCTAAGCAAGTTACTGTGGAGCAGTGAGTAAGGAGTCGTGCTAGGAAGCGAGAGACCGGTGTTCGAATCTCGGCCGGGACATAACTTTATTTATTTTTAAATACTGTTGTATTCTATAGTTTATTTTTGTAGTATAAAAAAAAGAACTATTTATTCTGTTATTTTTAATCTCCGGTATTAATATAAATTGATTGTTGGTACAACACTTCATTTAATATAAAATAATATTCTACTTTTTGAAATGTATCGGGCACTAATTGTACCTAAAAGTAATATATTTTTAGTGATATACCATATTGTAAACTATTTAATATTTCAGTCACTTAAAAAGTTAATTTGCATTGAATAATTGCCTACCATTAAAGGAAATTTGAGCTATATAATCCTTGATGGTCATATTCTGGGTATGCAAATACTTCCTCTAAATTTTGGGTTTCGTTCAACCGATTTATTCTCAAAACCTGAAACATCTACATATAAAAAGAAAAGCACAGGTCACTAATTATAATAGACTTCACCCTTGGAATTACTTCTATCACAATTACAATACATTCATCTGCATTGGCATTTTCTACTTTTCGATGGGAAACTTCAACTTCCCAACATTTTTTAAATTATGTAACAATTCCTCTTGTAGTTACTTTTCCATAGATATCCTCATCTCTGTCCTCATGTGAATTCAGAGGCAATGAACATGAAAATTATTTACCATAAACATCGCAAACTAAAAACCTAATAAACAAATCCATGTTAATAGGTAATTATTTTTAAATATATTTTTGGAACTGAAAAATAAACAATTCTTAACCATAACCCCAAAAAATGCAGATCTCCTGTCAACTTTCTTTATTTTTTATTTATTCATTATTTTCCTAGTGACGTCACAGGTGGTATGCGCGAACTGAACGAAATTGGAGCCGCTATCGATCATACCTTGTATTCTTTGTACCATGATCTGCAGCCACAGAGAGAAGTTTCAGTACTTACAGTTTTATCCATACTAAAAAAAGGAATCGCTTAACTGCACAAAGACCCGGTAAAATAATATTCGTAGCTCATAACAATAAATTATCACTACAAAAACAAAAAGTGGATATGGAGCATGATATTCAACAACATGAAATTCCTCCAGAACCACTAGAACTCGTGGACGTAGAGGTCCATCCTTCAGAATCAGAACCAGATGATACATCAAATATATCTGATTTGGAAATAGAAACTGACGATAATAACGGAGATACCGTATGATTTCAACCAAAATGGGACACCCTGTACATTAAAAAAATCGAATTAAAACAAAAAAAATCGATTTTTTTTTATTTTCAAAGTTCAATAAGTCGGTTATTATTAATTTATTTTAAAAATTGTAAAGAGAAAATATGTTTCATTTGGTCAGATCCACCCATAGACTTAAAATAAAATATAGACTGAGCATCTCATTCATAAATAGCTGGAACATGCGGTCAGACACTGTCTTGTTATTGTTGTGTTATTGTTTTAGGTTATAACGAGTGCGACACGAGCGATAGATAGGTTGTCTCTGTCGTAACGGTCGTTCCCTGACGACTCTGCCGAGAAACACAACACTGTCTTTCGTTTCTCAAGTACACCTGAACTCTCCGTATCATAGCCGGGTATTTTTTATTTTAATGAAGCTATAATTAAATTAAAAATATATCGTATTTAAACTTTTTATATTTTATTAAGATTTAGGACAGGTTTTTAAATAAAAGTTTAGAAAAAACAATTTAGAGTCCAAAAAGGATAAAAATAATAAAATACACGTTATAGAAGAAATTTTATAATCGAAATTAGGTAATTTTTGAAATTAATAATAAATTATTAATTTTAGTCAAACATTTACAACCCCTATTATTAATCAAAACAGGATCTATTCCACAGATATAATAGAATCGGCGACAAGGAGAGAAAAAAAATATGATTGTTGTAATTTTTTTTCCGGTTAAGTGATGTCTTATTATGTAAATTAGAGAAAACAAAAATCTGTTCCATTAAAGCAAGGAAGGTGATAGGAAGTGGATAAAATAAAAACTACATTTATTTAACGCGGTACTGTCTTTATTATACCGGGTGCGTCTCAAAAGTGGCTCATCCCCATAATTTTTTTCATATTTTCAAATAAAAAACAAGATTTAGTATGTTAGTATATGAAATAAATTAGGATTGATTGACGCATTCAATTGTTTTTGGTCACTTCCTGTTTCACCGGAAATGACTATAACTTTTAATTTTTAAACGGCACCCTCGGTATATTTCTACTTTATTCGATAGAAAATGACACTCTGAATAGAATGATATATCATATGTCAACTTTTGACATTTTCGCATATGGTTTAATTGTAATTGTAACACGCGGTTCATAGCGAAAATTTAACTCGAAATATCAAGTGTGTGGTATCAATATATTCATAAAAAAATGCCTTTTCCAAATATGCTAATGAGTCACCCTTGTTCCATTTGAAAAAATTGACATATGTATGATTAAAAATACGATTTGTACATCTTTTAACCGGCCTAGACAAGACACGAAACCTATTAGACGATCAAAACTATTTTTCCAAGGCTCCTTGATTAAAACTTAGTGGATTGAAAAAACTGGATTGAAATTTAAAATAGGATATGTTTTTAAGCGACAATGTCAAAAGTTGACATATGATATGTCATTCTATTCAGAGTGTCATTTTTATCGAATAAAGTAGCAATATACCGAGGGTGCCTTTAAAAATCAAAAGATGTAATCATTTCGGTGAAACAGGAAGAGACCAAAAACAATTGAATACGTCAATAAATCTAATTTATGTCATATACCTACTAACATACAAATCTGTTTTTTATCTGAAAAAATAAAAAGTTATAGGGTTGAGCCACTTTTGAGACGACCCGGTATATTAAAAAAATATTGTTTCATAATGTAATATCATTTTTAAAATTCTTGTATGTTATTTTAGATTCTGAAGATAATTTTAGAATAAACCGGAATATATTTTTAATAAAAACATTATTAATTATTAACAGGGTTATAATTATGATTTTGTTACAATGTAAGTAAGTAAATAATGTAATGTAAAAGAAAAAATTCAGATTTTACATTTTACTAAAATATTATCTAAATAAGCGCCTTTCTACAACAACGCCACTGACTGCCAATGGGTAAATTGAGAGTTGCCTACCGGTCAAAAGTCGTTTCAAGACTTAAATGGATTATTTAAGTCAAATTTTGCAAATTTGGCACTGGCGAACCATATTTTATAGTTTTGAACAGAAAAGTCAATAAAATAAACACTTAAGGATAACAAGCTAAGAAAATGCGTTAATACAGCCGGGGAGATAGCGGCAACAAAGCTTTACCGCACATGTGCGACACGTACTACAAGGTAATAAATGAATGAATAGGCTCCCTCGCCTCTAATCGGTGTTGTCATATTGTAAAGAACTTATCCTTATTAAACAGTATCCGACTTATAATTTAGTAGTATAAGGACTATTTAATACATCTATGGAATATTAAAACCTACTTTATTAAACTGTAGTATTAATATCTCAATATATGTGTATAACAAGAAAAAAAATATTGATAATATTAAAGACGTGACAACATCGGCTGGATGAGGAAGGCTCGGTCGACTGTACCCAGAAGTAAACATGTGTACAAAAAAGGTTGTTTGTCCGCGTTGAGATGTAAATAGTGTAGTCTATATTTTATTTTAAGTCTATGGATCCACCACACCTTAAAATACTTGCCTTTATTTCTGGGACACTCTGCATATTGTGATTGTTTTATGTTTTCAGACAAGCTTCTAGATCCGAATCGATCTACACCCTTCGTCGAACCTCGCCTCCCTCGCTATGGTACCGGCTGCTCTATTTCGTGACGCGGCGCGTGCCCAAGTACGAGCAAGAGGAGCGGTACCGGCTGGTGGTGCCCAATCACATAGTGCCGCCGAAAACGCCCCGAAAAGACCACCCGAACGGCAGAAGGCCGAACAATCGGATCCGCACGACCAAGTACACGTTGCTCAGTTTTTTGCCACGGAACTTGCTCGAACAGTTCCACAGGGTGGCCAACTTGTATTTCATCTTCATAGTGTTGTTGAACTGGATCCCGGCAATCAACGCGTTCGGCAAGGAGATCGCCATGATCCCCGTGTTGTTCGTGCTCGGAGTGACGGCGGTTAAGGATTTGTTCGAGGACCGGCGGAGACACGCTAGCGATAAGAATATTAATAACAGTACCTGTAGGATATATAATAGGTGAGTTCTTTTTTGTTATCTTTGAACTAGCTGAACCAGAAACGCACCACAAATGTCCATAATGATTTTTTTGTAAAAGAATTCTTGAAAATTTTATTGTTTTCTTGACATTTTTCGTGTTGGATTTTTTAGTGCCACAGATTCGCCCTCCTACATTTTTTTGACGGTATATCCCTTTGTATAAAGCTGCATTCTAAATCAATTCGCTGGCCGAGTCGTACTTTGGCACGCAAGCTTATCTTATGTATAGTCTGTGAAACGAATAACTTTGAATTTGACAGTTCTCGCGGGCTTTTCTAGTGTTAATTTTATTAGGTTAGCAACTTGCTGCCATGCTGACGCAATACCGTCGCTAATAGAACAGCCTCGGAGCGAGATTTATGACGTCACGCTAGTTAGATACTACGGATTAATAAATATGTTGTAGAATACATGGCAAACATAATTATTCCTCGTATTTTTGGTCTGTATTTTAAAAATGATATAGTTTACATGAAATATTATACATAATATACAGTTAATAAATACAATATAATATATACCTATTTATTCTAATAAATACTTTGGCAAATAAAACTATGAACCATGCAAATGCAGCAAATGTTTTACAATATACAGATAATGAATAGGTACATAAGATAATGGGTAAAATGTAAAATATATTTTAAATTTTGAGGTTTTAAAATCGATCTAATTTAACAAAAACATTCAATATCTACTAATAGTGATGTATTATTATTTACATTCACAAAATTTAGATTTTCAAACCTCAAATTTAAAATATATTTTTCATTATTTGTAGATTCGAAAACATTTGCTGCATTTGTATGGTTCATAGTTTATTTGCCAAAGTATTTATTACTATAAATACGTATATATATTGTATTTATTAACTGTATATTATGTATATTTCATGTAAACTATATCATTTTTAAAATACAAACCAAAAGTACGAGGAATAATTATGTTTTCCATGTATACTACAACATATTTATTAATCCGTAGTACCTAACTAGCGTGACGTCATAAATCTCGCTCCGGGGCTGTTCTATTAGAGACGGCATTGGTCTGATATTTAGAAATGTCAAAAGCTGATGACTTTTTACTTTTGACAATTATGACATTTCGTGTTGATTTTTGCAAGAAGAGGAAGAACTGTCACTTGTTTTATTATTTTCCTTTTCTATTTCACGAAAGTAAAAACCAAGTTACCTATCTGATTCGTTCAGGCACTCAATTTAAACAATATCAGTAACTTTTTTGGCAGAGGGATTTTATATTTGCCATGTTGGGAAAAAATAACGGTCAAAATTCAGAGTTATTCATTTTATAGACTATACTTCAGTGTACTCATTCACAACAAAATTCGACGCCAGAGTGCAAGTTGAAGTTGGATTGAAAGCTTGCAAGCTGCAAACTTCCACCTCAGCACGGAATTTTCGTTTTACAATTATGACAAATTTTACATTTAAATTTTAATAATTATTTTGTTTGTGTCGTTGTTACAAGCCATTTTCCTGTGAAAAGTAAATAATTATTAAAAGAAAAATAAGTGAAGGACGCTATTCTTATTTTATTAGGACTTGTGGCTTTGTTGTTAAAAAAAAACGGCAATTATTGTTGCAGCTCAATAATTATAGTCTGTCCAACGAGAAGATCCTTGACAGTGATAGATGTGTCTGTCATTTTAATTTCAAAGTAGTTTATTTTATTTTACAAAGAAATAAGTTGGTACAACTGGAACGCATAACAGGAAATTAATATATGTATTTAAAATTTGACTGACAAGTAACTTCAAAATATTGTGAAAAAAAATGTATAAAACTGAAAAAATGTAATCCAGTTATTTTATTTAATAAAAAACGGTATGTGTTAATACAAAACAAACAAAAACAAGACACCACATACCAAAAAATATAAAAAAGAACTATTTCTTACTTTCAAGCTTTATGAAACTTTTTATGAAACTAAGCTTTATTAACTTAAAATTAAACTTATATAACTTATGTACTAATACAAATTTGTAATATTCCGCAGGAATAAATAAAACAACATAAATAAAACAAACTAATTTATTAAGAATAACACTTACCAAATTTTATACCTCACAGGTTGATTAATTAACTTTCATCTTATTTTTTTTTAAACCAGTACCTTTTGACATTATTTTTCTGCAGTACTAAAATCCATTATTTACCTATCGTGCGATGTCGATATTTTACAGCTACTCCAGTTTTAGTATGTGTTTAGTATGGTCCTTCTACCATATTCGAGATGCACTTATCTACGACGAGATGGTATACGAACTTTATTGATAGTAACTTTATTGGTGTATCTGTATAAGACTTTCTGCTTGGGCAGCGAGTATTAACCATAAACTGTGCTCTGGGTTCTACAGTTAATTTTCACTCGATTTTTCCTCCACTTGACTTCAAAAGACACAAAACACACGAAATAACACGAATCAAAATGGATCATCTTTCAAAACGCAGGGTATTTGACAAAAGTTGTCACAAAATTATAACCTATAATTTGGCAAGACTTTGACAAACGTCAAAAATCTAAAGGCGAGTTCATACGCATCGGCGTCCGTTTGTCGTTCATCGTTCCGTCAAACCAATAAAATTGAAATACGATCTGCCATTTTTGAAATAAACCAATAAAACTGGTTAAAAACAACAAGTGACGACGCATGACGAATTTATATTTCAACCCATCCATAGTTAACTTAAAAATTATTAGAAACTTTTTTTAGTAAAATAAATAGATTGGTATGGGACGTCATCTGCTTTTCTTCTGTCATCGTCTGTCGAAATCTTACCTGAGAAAAAAAACAGAGTATAGCTTGACCGAAAACCAAGGGGTTTACCAAAACCCAAAAAATGAGGTGTCCGACCCATATTAATGGCGAGAAAAAGTTTTGGGTGCTTGAGACACATTTTAGAAAAAAATCATCAATAAATGACGTTTTTGTTTCCATTTTTCTAAACATAAAAACTTGGAAAACTTAATTAACAACTGTCCCGGATTTTGACTCTTCCAAAATCAAAACCAACAACTAACCTAAAAAATGCCAGGAGAACGTTTAAACACGCATGCGCAAAATTCGAATTGAAATTTGTTGTGAATGGTAAATTTCGTGCCGACTTTAACGTCGAAGTGCCACTCGGCCAGCGAATTGATTTCGAATGTAGCTTAAGAAGACTAAGGAAGGAGCATAATGCTATCCATGTATTCATGCATGGTGGACGGAAAAGCCACCATAAAAGCTCTCTAGGGTGGGGATCCTTGACAGTTCTGTTTGACGATTCATTTGACACATTTGAATTTGATTTGAAATTTTGTGGATTTGTCTGTCTTTACGGAGCTTATTTTATGTTATTTATTATTTATTCTACTACTGATAGTTGTATAAAGGTAGTAAATCTAGATGGAAATTGTGGCAGAACTTAAATTAACAGTGACACTATCGCGATTTATCGAAAAAGACTCTAAAGTAGTTGGTTGTGTAACGTGCGGTAGATCTCGGCAAAAATTGAGTGAAATAATGGAACAACTTTTCGCTAGTAAGTGACTATATAATATACATACGTGTAGTAAACCGATCATTTATGAAATTCACTTAAATTAACTAAATTAGATATTTTTCTTGCATTTTAGCTTTTATTTATTACTTGTTACAGATTAGATGTCAAAGAATTTAGATACGTCGATTTAACTTTCCTGCTTCAGTAGCGTATCGGATGTTTGTGTTAATAAATACTTATTATAACGTATCTATTTTTATTAGAATTATATATTTTTATAACAATTTTAATAACTACCAACATTTATTCACAACGTAAAATAAAACAACAAATTATTGAGTCTACCCCACGTCTACCCTACATCATAGTTTTACATTTTTTAAATAAAATTAGAACGACACTGATAAACCGGAATTTAAGTCGGCCATATTTGAGGCCCATCGCGGTGTACCTAAGATTTTTGATATGCTCCTTCCTTAGTCTTCTTATTCAAAGATGTATACAGATAAAAATCTTGTCCCTAATTCGTGGCACGAAAATTATTTTTTATGACGCTGAGCAAACGAGTAAAATTTCCTGTGCGCAAAAATAAGCTCGCGTTTAAACGACGTAATAACTGGGCCGGTCAGGCGCTGTGCGCAATTTTAGAGGCCATAAAGGATGATTCACAGTACACCGGACCGTGCCCGAGTCGGGCACGTTCCGTGAAGTAGACACCGAGCCACGCCCGATCCTTCTGTATATGCAACACCGAGTTGATAACGGGGATCGTATTAGTTCCGAGTATATTAGAAAACACAGCCCCATAGACAAACGAAGATTTAATACGAACAATGCCAAAGTTCTCGCAGTTGGAATTGGGAATTGAAAGAACAACACCTGCAAGGGAAACACCTGCTCAAAGGAAAAGATGAAGTATATACATATCTTGTTCATTACATCCTTTCATTGTTCAGTTTTACGCATACCCTGTCGTCAAATACTGCTGTAAGATTCACTAATACCTACTACAGACATGATAAAAAGTGTACTTTGTTTATATCATGACTGCAAATTGCAGTCGGGGCACCAGGAGAAGTACATTCATGCTTTCCGCAACGTGACGGGAACGGAGCGGATCCGAGAAAAAAATGTACGCCGACATTTCTGGGACGGGGCACGGACGAGTTCCGGCGAAGAATGTATATATATAAATTTAATTGTTCACAAAAAAGGTCTTATTCATTTTTTCACTGTGAGCAGTGGTTAAGGGTGTATAATACTTTGAAAATACGAATAGGTGGAAAAAACTGTGTATTTGTGAAAGATTAACACAAACCAGAACATTTTTTTTATAAGTATATAAGTATTTAAGATAGAAAACAAATTTCTTGCAGTATAGGCATATAATAAAATTATATAAGGATTCTTGCCACTTAACTGCTTATATAGAAATTTAATTCTACGCTGTGTTTGTCATAATGTGGATCAACCTGCTCTCACTGCCGGTTTCGGAGCCCTACTCAGTGTGGCCAGATTGGGCGCTTTCGCGCAAATTGGGCGTTTTTTAGAGGTTATTTGCGCCAGAAAATATGTAAAAGGCGCAAAGCGCAAATTGGGCGGTTTTAATGTTTTTATAATAGCGCAACTTTTTCTTAGACAAGCTTGTTTTAAATAAAAATATAAAAATAAAATAAAAAGCAAAGATCACCGATCACCGTACGGCTAATGTCACATAAACCCTTTTTATAGCATAAACCTGGCATAAACCAGTCTAGACATAGATTTAGACTTTGCCTTTGACAGTTTTTACTTTTATTCTATGGCTTATACTAAGTTAACCCTACTTATTGGTGATTGGCGGTAATTTACGATTCATGACCGGTTTATTTAGGTATTTTTTACGTACAATGGGGAAATGGGCCAAATATACAAAAAAACACAAAAGTGAATGGGAGAATGAATCGCAATTTAAAGGTAGGTATTATTTATCTAACACGGGTTGGAGCTGGGCATGGTAAATGTATACTTATTTTGCTTATGTGAGATTTTATTAGTGATAGGATTGGTGTTGGTGGTAATGGTATTATTTACTTCTACCTTAGGTTGGTTAACAAGGAAACGAGATGGCTCATATTGTAATATTTGTAATACAGATATTAGATCCCACCGAGCTGACCTCATAAGGCATTCACAAACAATGAAGCACAAATTGCAAGCTAATAAAATAGGTACTAACCAGATGTGTCTTCAAAAGCTTGGTGAGTAATTTTTCTGTAATCATTTTTTAGGAAATCATCATTAAACTTTTAGATTAGGAAATCATTATTAAACTTTTAAATTTTACTTAATTAAATTGTAACTTGTAACATCTTTAGTCTTAATTTTTTTAGGTGTAACTGTTTCCAATGACGCCCTCAAAAGGAAAGAAATTATATTAGCCACTTATATAGCAGCCCATTCTTCAATAAGGAGTGTAGATCATTTAACTGACATTTTGAACAAATTTTCCAAATTACAACCAGGATCAGCTTCTGTATCCACAGAAAGTCAAGATATTTTTCATCTACATAAAACAAAGTGTGCAGCAATAATTCAAAATGTCATTGCCCCCGCACTATTAAAACAATTGGTTAATGATGTAGGTGACATGTATTATTCACTATTAATAGACGAATCAACAGATGTCAGCACTGAGAAGCTTTTATGCCTTAACATTAAGTACTATTCGGTAAAAGATAATGATATTAAGCTTCAGTTTCTCAGCTTTATTTCAGTTATAAAAACCACAGCTGAAGATTTATACCAAGCTGTGTCTCAATTTCTACTCACAAATAAATTTAATGTACAAAAATTGCTAGGTATTGGCACTGATGGTGCTTCAAACATGTGTGGGATAAATAATTCACTATATACTCAGTTAAAAACAAAATTTGGATTAGAAAAATTAGTTTTAGTAAAATGTATTTGCCACAGCCTTAATTTGTGTTCCTCTAAGGCTGCAGAAATATTCGCTGACGATATAGACTTTCTTTTAAAGGAAACTTATAATTGGTTCAAAAACAGCACGCTAAGAATTAGTAAATATAAAGACATTTTTAATTTAATTAACATAAATACTGAAAATAAATTTTCCAGGCTTACACAATTATCAACAACTCGCTGGTTATCAAGATATCGAGCTGTTGACAAAATTTTGTCCCAATATTTAGAACTACAAACATTTTTCGATATACATGCTGAAAAAGAAAGATGTCATACAGCAAAAATTTTAAGTGACATTTATAAAAATAAAACAAATAAAATTTTACTAACTTTTGTTAAACCTATATTAAAACAAATATATCACCTAAATATATATTTTCAAGCTTCAAATGTAGATTTTTACCAAGCATTTACCGACACGAATATTATTATATGGACCTTTGCCCGACAAATTTTAAAGCCTCAAATTTTAGAAAACTTAGGAGATAGTATCGAAAATTTAAAAAATTCAATGGCATATGATCAAAATTATCTTGATATAGATCAATCGGACTTTGGTTACTTTTTTGATATTGAAATTAAACAGTGTGATTTAAATATTGAAGAAATAATTCAAATTAAAAATAAATGTAAAGAATTTCTCAAAGTTCTTATTTTAGAACTAATTAAAAGAATGCCCTCTCATTTGGATTTATTTAAAAAAATAAAAAACATCAGTCCAAAGATTATTCTTAACCCAATAAGGCCTAAATTTAATGAACTACCTTTAGATTTTATGCCTCAGGATAAAATAAATGACATTGAAACACAATATAGGCAACTTCTAAGTACGAAGTGGGACGAAATTTTTGAAAACACGATACCAGAAGATACTTTAGAATTTTGGAAAAAAGTAATTACTTTGAAGAATGCGGGAGGTATACTATTATTTGATGATATATCAAAGTTTGTTTTTACTCTCTTGAGCTTGCCTACGTCTAATGCTGCAGTAGAGCGAAGCTTTTCAATTCTCAATGTTGTTAAATGCAAACTAAGAAATAAAATGATGTTAAATCTATTAAATTCTATTATGATTATAAGATCTTATTTATCCGTTAATAATATTTGTTGTAAAATATTTGAACCAAATAAAGAGATGGTTTTAAGATTCAACTCTAGCATGTATAAGCCTCAAGCTCAAGAAGTAAACGCAAATGATATAAATGATTTGTGTAGCGAATTAGATACTCCAGATGTCGAGGAAGTTATTTCTTTATGTGATGATATTTTGTCACATTAAGGAAATATCTAAAAGCCTAAATTCTTTCTTATAATTTTTGTAATAAAATAATATTGAAGCCAAAATTAGTGTTTTATTAGTTATATAGCCCATCGCGATTATATGTTTAGCCTGGCTAATTTAAGCCTAGTTCTCCTGCATTATAATTTCGGAAGTTTTCTGGAAAAGCAATATATTACGGCAGCAGAGGTTTTAACGGTTATCTAAATTTCCAACCTTCTGAAAATCTGATACTACTCTACGTAGACTCGTAGCTACATAAAAGTCAATCAAGAAATTTGTAGGATTATTTTGATGTATGAAAACGTTAAAATTGAATTTTCTAAAATATATGACGTCATTGTATCGCAGAAATCGTCCGAAATTCGGATACAAATAAACTAGGGTTTACTCGATTATTAACTACCTCTGTTCTATGGCTCTGTTCCTAGAAATGAAGGATGGGCAGGCAAAATGGTAATGACTTGCGCTTTTGGGCGCTTTTTTTCGGCAGATTTTGCGCCTTGAGTTTTAAAAATCTGACAACACTGGCCCTACTCCATCATCAGGTGAGCTTGGGCAGATCCACAACATGACAACCACAGCGCAGAGATAGTTAAATCCGACTTGTCGGAAAGTGTCGGTTAGATATTAACTTTCGTACCACCGACGCGAAACGATGGATAGTAAAAAGATGGTAAAAGACTTTTTTTCAGGCAAGCCAAATTATAAAATAGAAAACAAATTTCTTGCAGTATAGGTATATAATAAAATTATATAAGGATTCTTGCCACACACACAACTGCTGATATAGAAAATTAAATTTTGGTTAATTAACCTGGTTAATGGTTAATAAGATGCCTCTCGCAAAACAATTTTTATTTTTCAGTTGAAATTAGGTTATTTGATCATTTGATATGATCCTTGAACAACAAAAACATGGTTTTTCATAATTTTTGCATTTTGAAAGTATCTCGCATACAATAAACTCTTCACTACTGCTCCTAGCGAAAAAATGAATAGGACCTTTTTTGTAAAGAATTGAATTTACTTTCATTTTGTATAGAACATTTTTTTCGCTAGGATGCTTAATTTTCGAGATAATAACGAAAAATATATAAACCAGCCCTTTTCACGGCTAACGCACAAGGTTGGGGACTTTTGGTATGTTACTTCTAAGGGTCAACCCTATAATCTGTAAAACGAATAACTTTGAATTTGTACAGTTCCCGCGGGCTTTTCTAGTGTTAATTTTATTAGGTTAGCAACTTGCGGGCCATGCTGCTGCAATACCGTCTTTAATAGAACAGCCTCGGAGCGAGATTTCTGACGTCACGCTAGTTAGATACTACGGATTAATTATGTTGTAGAATACATGGAAAAGATAATTATTCCTCGTATATATAATTTTTGGGATTATATTCGACACTATTTTTTTCATATGACACAACACTGATGAAGGCTACAAACGTTAGCTATAACGTTTTTTTTAAACCAAAAAAATAATGAAAAACCAAATGAAAACTTAATCAGCGTTTCTCCCGAACCTAAATCCCAAGAAAATCAAAAATTTTAGAATAATTTTACATATAAAATGACAGCGATCTTCATTTCATAGCCATCGCTAACGTCTTTTTTTCTATGATATTGGATTATTTGCAAATAAAATTTTTTGAACATTGATGCTTACAAAATATACATATTTCAAACCCCAAAATTTAAAATTTATTTTACATTTTGCCCATTATCTTATGTACCTATTCACACGTTATTAACACTTGATGCATTTGTATGGTTCATAGTTTATTTGCCAAAGTATTTATTACTATAAATAGGTATATATATTGTATTTATTAACTGTATATTATGTATAATTAATCTAAACTATATAATTTTTAAAATACAAACCAAAAATACGAGGAATAATTATGTTTTCCGTGTATTCTACAACATATTTATTAATCCGTGATATCTAACTAGCGTGACGTCATAAATCTCACTCCACGGCTGTTCTATTAGAGACGGCATTGGTCTGATATAGAAATATCAAAGGCTGATGACATTTTACTTTTGTCAATTATGACATTTCGCGTTGATTTTTGCAAGAAGAGGAAGAACTGTCACTTGTTTTATTATTTTCCTTTTCTATTTCACGAAAGTAAAAAGAGTTACCTATCTGATTCGTTCAGGCACTCATTTTAAAAAATATCAGTAACTTTTTGGATAGAGGGCTTTTATATTTGTCATGTTGGTAAAAAATAACGGTCAAAATTCAAAGTTATTCATTTTATAGACTATACCACTTAAAACAATAATTCCTTTGACACTATTTTTTTCCGAATTGCGGTATTTTTTAGTGTTGGTTTCCTGGCCTATTATCACTGAGTGCGCCGAGACGACCACCGTTTGTGCCGTAACCCATAATATCGGTCCTTAAAATATCTGAAAAAATGTGTTCATTTTTTTAAGTTTGATGCCCTCTAACGGATAAACGAAGTACTTTTGTATAGAAGTAAATTGAGTCCAATGAACTTATTTTGATTAAAAAAATACGTAGTAGTTCTATGCCCACGGATTTTTGGACATCCTGTATATATGATATGGGGTAAAACCTGAGTGTAATATTTTGTATATAAAACACAGAACCTTAGATATATTATATAAATGTAATGATACACATTACATGTTAACGCTAACATGACAGTCGGTGTTTGAATAACCGATATCCATCTACTTACTTTGTTTTCCCTTTAGGAACTGTCTACTAAAATATATATGCATAGTAAACTTTAACAAACTGCCAATCAATTAGTAATGGATTTATTCGATATTCATAATTGCTTACCATTTGTATGATTGCGTACCAATCAATAATACAATTTTTTATACTACGTTTTGATTGAAATCAAAAATGAATGGTATAAATCTTACTAGATTTAATATATGAAACATTTTAGATAGTGATTGTGACAGTGTGTGTGACAGTGACAGTTGTATCATTTTTTGGATGTTGTCTGTCAAAACGATGGCACTCTAACGATTGATATTATATACAGTTTGACTTTTAGCGGTCCGTCATAATAGAAATGATTAAAATATATGTCAACTGATATCAAATGATCGATATCCTGATAACAATTTAATATTAAACTAACAACTGGTGATAAATATAGTGATAAAAATGACAAATTACGTTTTTTATAGTATTTATTTGGATCGAAAATTCGGGACAAGTTGTGTCTTTCTATAGTAACTTAATCTAAATAAATAAAACAAAGTGGGTTTAGATAGACCATTTATAATTCTAGAACGGCTGGACCTATTTTATTGATCTATTTGTTGGATTCGTCTCCGCACTTATTAGCGAGATAACTATTTACGAGAAACTTACGAAAATAATTATTTACGGAAAATTTACAAAAACAAGATAATAGAGGAAATGAGGGTGGTTCTGAATACTGTTGGTAATTCGGAATACACACTTATTGAAACTATGCGTGGCGCTATCTGTTTAAATATGGTATAAACTACTAGGTAAAGGCTCTCGTCTACCAATCTCAAGGTAGTGGGTTCGAATCCCACACCCGGCATTTCATCAGCCGACTCTTTTTATTAAAATAAAAATATAGCCTAAGAGCTGACGACATATTTAGAGAACATATTTTAGGCAAGCTAGAATAACTAAAAATGTATAGTTTATTAACTGGTGAACCCAGAATCCTAAGTCTGGCTGGGGGGTTGGGGGTATTTCGCTACTGCGCAACCCATAACATTTGCAAAAAAATAAATCCAAAAAACATTCTTTAGGCAACTTGAAATTTGTTTATTCTTAAATTTTAGCATCTATTTAACCTCGAAATAAGCATGCCAGACTTTTTTTTCGGGTTTAAAGTGTAACCCGACCATTCCAAATATGTTTAATTATTATACCTGGAAAACATACTTTAGGCATTCTAAAATTTTTACAGCGTGTTTATTAGATGATATTAAAAAATATGTGTTAATTGCCAGACGAATTCAATGGGATTTAATACTTGCCAGACGCGAATAAAGATTTTAAATGAGCGCGACAAAAAAGTCAAATGAGTATCTATAAGCGCGAGAAAGATAGTTTATTGAGACCCGTCGCCAACCGATGCGGCTGACGTAACAATATTTTGGAGTACTTCAAATTTTCATAAAAACATTTTTTTTTCGGTTTCATTTCAATTATTTGCAGGCTTTTAATTCGGAGATTATTTTGTTGGAATTAAGTTACCATGTACATATATGTATTTATAAATTAAATATTGGACGTGCATAGTGTAAATAGTTTCGAATAATTACCACAAATAAATATTTTAGTAACTACTAATTTCGCTACTAACTACTAAATCACAATGGATAAAAAACATTTAAGTTGTGTAGTTTGTAAAAAAGTTACCAGTGACAAAGTTATTGTTTTTGATGAAGGCAGACTACAAAAATGCAAAGAATTTTTAAAAGTGCGCCAACAACATGGTTTAAAATTTAAAGAAGTGGTTTTACCAGAAAACGTAGTCCCGACAAAAGGGTACCATGTACAGTGCTAAAAAAATAAGTATTCGGAATTTTATTAAAGTACCATCGTTAATCTTTCTAAATAGATTCAAAAGTAAGTAAAAGTGCTTTACTTTTATGCTTAGGCGTTAAAATGACTTTTTTATATTGTCAATCAGGTCGCAAAAATTAATAATAATATAATATGTCACAAAAGTATAATAATAATTATACTTTTGTGACGTTTGAAAAAAATATATTTTATATTATGCTAATTTTTAAATAATTATTCGTCTTCTTATTCTTTCAGATACAAAATACTTAAATTAAAAAATAAATAAATAATAAAAATTCTGTCAATTTTCAAGAGAAACAGCGGTTTTTTGAACTTGGCCCTTTTCCTACGGACCGGCAAATGATTTTGAATACGGGGTGGTGTACCCTTGTCATCTGTACATCGTTTCCAGATGGTCTCGTTGCGGCACAACCCTTAACAAATTGGCGGCGATTTTTTTTCTGTCTAATTTTAGGTAAAATGACAGTTTTTTGATTCTGGCCCTTTCCCTAC